TAAAATTAATAATTTTAATAATAAAAAATAAAAATATTTTAAAAAATACACTTATTTATTTTTAAACATGTCCTTATTAGTCATTTAATGTTAAACAACAACCGCTAATTATTGTATAGTCAAATAGTTATATTTATTGAATCCGCTATTTACCGTCCGCTATCCACTTTCTGCTATCCGCTATTCGCTATCCGCTATCCACTTTCTGCTATCCGCCATCCGCTATCCGCTAATCGCCACCCGCTACCCGCTACCCACTACCGCTATCCGCTATCCGCTATCCGCTGAATTTTAACCGCTGTACCAAACAGGTCCATAAACTAACTTTTTTAATCCGCTAGCGGTTTGGACTCTAACCGCTATCCGCTAGTCTCAAACCGCTAAATAAAAATTTTACCAAATACTTTATTTATAGCGGTTTCAAAATATATAAATTTACCAAACACATATATTTAGCGGTTTTAACAGCTACCTTAAAACCGCTATAACCGCTATACCAAACGGGGCCTTAATCCAAATAAGCTCTTGAGGTTAGCGCTGTAATCTCTTTCGATTCTTCCTCTCCCTCCTCCCCATTTCTCTTAAATTAAAAAGACTATTATTATTCTTAATTTTAATAATTACAAATCAAAGGTAAATATGTGACATAATGTCTCAAGTACTCTTGGTTTGTCTCCTTTAAAAGTGATTTTGTTTCCGTGTGACTCTGTGTTATGAATTGAATATTTCTTGAAGTGTTAACGTTCAAATCCTTAAAAATCTGGAAGCAAATTCATTAGTGAAATTCTTCACTTTCCATAACTTGTCAACCTTTTAAAAATCAAATTCAACCTCTTGAATTAGTCAGTTAATGTGTTATAAAGTTTCCATAAAAATATTAGACTTCACAGGTCTTTCACCCAACCCTCTTATATTTGAAAACGTTTCAAGAGATCCAAAAGCATGCATGTAGTTCTATAAAATTTTCGCTTTCTGATCCTCCCCCCAGTATTTATGCTTTCTTAATTATATAAGTTCTAAAACCTTTTTCAAATGTTTCACAACATTTTCATTCCTAGACCATTTCCACATTTTGTAGGAAATTAAAAAGGTTTCAAAACATTTCAGTAGTTTCAGATTCGGTTAGATTTTCAAATCTGTAATTTTAATGACATTGAAGACTTTCCATGTTAAGCCACGACGACTAGTCAGCAATCCATATCTAAACTTGAGGGTTTAAAAAGGTACTTGTGGAAGAAGAAGAAGAGATCAAAGCTTCAAATTAATATTTGTGTATTTAACTTTCTTATTTGATCAATTTAGTGAACAATTATTCTTGTTCTCTTTTATTGCAAAAGTGGGAGAGTGTTGGAAATTCTTCATAGGGCCTGTTTGGTACAGCGGTTAAAATTCAGCGGATAGTGATTAATAAATAGCGGTAACAGATTAGCGATAGTGGTAGCAGATAGTGAGTGGCGGTTA